GTCCTGTGCCTACGTACTTTCATCTGAAATGAAAGATCAGAGCAAACGTAGTTCGGCTAACTACGGGTAAACAGGGGCTCTCACACAGCAGTGAGAAAACAAACTGGTCTCCAAGGCTCGGGGACCTACAACTACGATCTGGTCTCAAATGCACTCGGGCAAGAGAAAGGGGGTAACAATTAGTCGTTAGCGGGAAAGTCTCGATCGCACAGCCGCGAGAGAACAAAGGTTAGTCGTTAGTGTGCTCGCTAGGATATCGCATCCTATGCCTACATATCTTCGTCTGGAACGAAGAATCAGAGCAGCTGTAGTTCAGCTAACTACGGGTCAAGCTACTCAAAAGCTCCTACAGAAAGGAAAGGGAAACCTTAAAACTATACCTGAGAAACAGGGGAATCTACCTACTGCTATCACACCTGGTTGACCACCCTAATGTCTATCATAACAACTCCGCAGCGGAGAAGTCAGAGCTCCTAAGGGATCATGGCAACAGGACTAAACTACAAACAAGAAACTGCAACGAAATACTGAAAATATGCGTGAATGCAACAACTAGACGAACAAGGCACAGAGGCCGCAAACCACAAAGGCAAGGGAGCTCAGCTCTACCGAATACCAACAAGCAAAGCCACGCAATAACAAACAAGCAGAAGGAGGACCACCTCAACTTCTTATGCACACAAAGTCTACTTCTAAGATGCACCTACTCAGAACTATCTAGATGAACACCTAAGCCTAATGCAACATAACATCACACAAGTCAAACAACACAAAGAGACTAACCCTGAGCAGGGCCTCTAACAAACCTGAGACAACTCCTAATCTATCTCTAAACAGAACTCTATACAACACCCTAAGCAAAGATCTAAGCAACAACTAATCAAAACCCTAGGCAGGAGGAGTCAATCCCAGTCTCCAAGCTTCAGAACAAGCTTACCAGAGAAAGGAAGCTAAGCAGACAAGCTCATGGTATCTTCCTCAGGAAAGTACCAGGAGGTTACTACTCAGGAGTCATATCCTATGCGGCTCGACAACTGTGATTAGTTTACATTCCTCCTCAGGAGAAATTAAACTCACATGAAGGCTCCGGCGTCACTGGATACTTGGGAAAGAACCTATATGCACTAAGGGAACTAAGTGAACAGACTCATAGGACCTTCCTCAGGAAAGTACTAGGAGGCTGACACTTAGGAATCGTATCCTACGTGGCTCAACAACTGTGATCAGTTTACATTCCTCCTCAGGGGGAATTAAACTCACAAGTCGGCTCCAACATCACTGGATACTTAAGAAGTCCTAGACAAACTACTGGAACTAAGTGAATAGACCCATAGGACCTTCCTCAGGAAAGTACTAGGAGGCTTCCACTTAGGAATCGTATCCCATGTGGCTCAACAACATGTGATCAGTTTACATTCCTCCTCAGGAGGAATTAAACTCACAAGTCGGCTCCGACATCATTGGATACTTACGAAAGAGGTGAGAAGAAAGAATGAAAGTCATTCATAGTGCCTTCCTCAGGAAAGTACCATAAACTCCCTTCAAACTTCAGGATCTCGAACCTCACAAACAGACAACAAGCTCCTAGACTAAGCCTCAATCCAATGCATCTCTGCAAGCTCCAACAGGACCTCAATCAGCTCCCACCTTGAGAAGAAACCCACAGGCCAACAAACCACAGGAGACTATCTCTGAAGTTCAACCACAGTTGAACTTCAAAGTCAGAAGTCATCAAGACTTCTCCTATCTTCAGGCTCAGACAAATCCTATCAGAATAGCCTACAAAAATCTATCAAAAATCTAATGGGAGACCTACATGGCTCTATGACAGCATACTGAAAAATCAAAACAAAATTCAATACCAGATGAAAGAATCAAAATCAGCAACACAGACATATTCACAGACCAATTATTCAAACATCAATAATAATGAAAAAATGCAGTTAAAATGAAAATGCATGATTGAGCTAATCTTTTTTGTACCATAAAATTCTACACTGAATTACGAGTCTACAGAAAAAAGAACGGAATTATTTGACCAATTCTACCATTTTTTATGAATTTTCTAATGATATGCATGCATTGAAAATATTAAAAACAAATCAATTAAATGGAAAATATGCACAAAAAATAACAAACAAAAATAAAATGACTTTTATTTTTATTTAATTTTCTTAACATTTCATGAAATGGATGAAAAAAGAATTATTGAAAAAAAACATTTATTTACATTTATTATGGAGTATTTAATATGCAAAGAAAAATATACAAGAAAAAAAATAAAAGAAATAACCTGGGGGGTCCAAACAGCAAAATTCTAGTTATTATTCACATTGGGCCCTCACATTGGGGGGTGCAACTAGCAGTTGGGCGCAGGGCCCAAGCTTACTAACCAAAAACAAATAAAGAAAACTGAACTGAAATGCAGGGGGGGGGGGTTGCATTAGCAATTTCTCAGTTGATCTCCAATACTGGGCTTACGCCCAGGGGTGCGAAAAGCAACTGGGGCCTAAGGCCCAACTTACTCATTCAGTTTTCACACGGCCAGGGGGGGAAAGCAAATTGGGAGGTGCAGCGTTCAGAAACACGCTTGGGCCTAAGCCCAATCCAAACAAACCCTAATCCAGTTACTCAGAGAACAAAACGAACTTCTCCTCCCCTAACCCTAGTACTGTTCATCCTCCCTTGACCTTGCGCCGTTCACTCTTTCGTCTCTCCCTCATCTCTTCTCTATCTGAAACCCCTATGATCTCCATCAACAACAAACACCAACCCTAATACGCAATCAATCTAAACCTAAACGTTCTATATCATCATCAAACACAGCATCAAGATCAAACCCCAAATCCCAGCGTCATCCAACAGACCACGCACTAAATCAAATCCTAAGAACCCTAACTACTCTATGGATCATTGCAAGCAACGCACTCTAAAGAAAAACACGCGAGGAGTTTCAGAAAGGCATACCTGGGGATATTTGAGCGAACTGGACTGTATTGGAGAATGAAGTCCCTTCAACGAAGATCCAAGGCGCGTACGACGACGGAGCGAAGATAAAATTGAAGGATGGCTCTTGAAGATGACGTTCTGGGGAATTTGATCGAAGAACTATGAAGGTTTTAAGTGTCTGAGGATCTTCTGGAAAAGTTGCTTGAGAATGGATGAAGATCTGGTGGTGTTCTGGAAAGTTCTTGCTTGAAGGTGGATGGAGTTCGAAGTTTTCTGAGTTTTTTCTTGCTTGAAGGATGAATACAGTTGACGTTTTCTGGAAAAGTGTATGAAGATAGAGGCGTTTCTGAAAGAAATGGATGAAGATAGATGAAGGTGTGAGTGGTTCTGGAAATTATGGATGAGGATGATGAAGGTTTTAGTTGATTTCTGGAGAAACTTGTATGAAGGCGATGGCGTTTCTGGAGAAGAGGGATGAAGACGATGAAGGTGACGGAGGGACGATCGGAGGAAGAAGATGATTTTCTGGGTTTTTGGTAGCTCCGGCGGAAAGGACGGTGGCCGGAGTTGGTTCAGGTGGCCGGCGGTATGCAGTTAGGGCGTTTGCATGGACGCCGGTGGTGTTCTGGTGAATCTCCGGTGAGGGATGTCTGAGTGCCAAGTGGCGCACATGCGCTGAGAGAGAGAGAGGGAGTGGGGGACAGGTGGGGCCACGTGTGGGAGTCTGGGAGTGGGTGGTGGCGCGATGATTGAGAAACGCGTGGTCGTTCTGCATGGCCAACACGTGGCGCTATTTATTGCATTGAAGAATCTGGATCCTTCCAGAAGTTTCTGACCTGCGCTGGACACTTGGACTGACTGGGTCATTTTTCTGTTTGGACTTTTTTGAACTGAGGATTGGGCCTTAACAGACAAAAAAACACCCCACTGGGCCCATTCGAAAATGAAAACAAAACTGTAACAAAAAAACTGAAAAAAAACAGAAACAATTAACTCTAATCAATATCAATTAAACTAATGATTAATCCTAACAACAATCTAAAAAAAAGATTAAAACTCATATTAATCTAATTAAACCTAAAAATCAATTAAAATCTAATTAAAAAAAAAGAGATTAATGCTCTAATTTCTATATTATCCTAAAAAGACAATTAATATCTAATTAAACTCTAAAAAATGATTAGAAGTCTAATTATCCTAATTAATTCTAAAAATCAATTAACCTAATTAATTCTATATTTCTACTAATCCCTATTAACATTCTAATATCACTTAATATCTATTAAAATCCTAATATTAATAAAAGAAACTATATTATTTTCTATATTCTCTAAAAACTATTAAACCTATTTTAAAACCTATATAAAATTCTAAAAATGATTTAAAAATTCTTATAAAATCCTAAAAAGAGATTAAGCTATTAAAATATTCTATAAACCTATTTAAATTCTAGAAAAATCTATAAAGCCTGTTAAAAATTCACAAAAGCCTATTAAAATCCTAAAAAATGCAGATGAATGCAAATGACCCCCGTAAAAGCGCACGAGACCAGATCGAATCGAACAGAGATCCCTGGGCATCAGAATATCCTCAAAATCACTGAAAAATCACCGAGGAGCGCACAATTTCCCGAAAATAAACCCTGGTGATCTGGACTGGGTCTGCCATATCTGATAGACAAAAATCAAGCTGTAAACTCTGATATCCCCTGCTTGTGCACAAAAATCATACATCTGAGCTGTGAATATGAATTTAAACCATGAGTCAGATAGGAGAACCGGTTGGTCAAATTTTAGGGTGCAACAGCTAGCACTGTGCAGTTCATCCATTGTGGTATCTATGATTTATGTGGCAACTTCTTATTTTGGTTTATTGTTGTTTATTGTCTTAATCAGTTGGATCATAGGAGGAGATTATGGAAGGACATTGATCAAATTCACCTGTCCTAGTAGGGCCCTTAGTTCTTGATTGGAGACTTTAATAATATCTTGAAAACTATGGACAGAAGGGGGAACATGGTTCATGAAAATGAATATAAGGATTTAATTTCCATGATGGATAGAACCAATCTGAATGAGATGGATAGTATTGGTGATTACTACACATGGTCTAACAAGCATAATGAGAATGTTATTTACTTTAGGATTGATCATGTTCTGGCCAATGTGGAATGGTATAAGAAATACATTCATGTCAGCCTTAACATTTTGGCTCTTAGTGTTTCAGACCATGCTATACTTCTTTTAAATAGTCATGAGCTGAACAGACAAAAGAGGATGAATCATTTCAAGTTCCTGAATAACATGAATGATATGGATGTCTATCAAAAGGAAGTAACCAATAGGTGGAGGGACCCTTTTAATGGGAGGCCTATGTTTGTCTTGTGGAAGAAGCAAATCAGGGTTCATGCTAGTACCAGAGCTCTTAGAAAACCTCTGATAGAGGCTTCCTACTCCATAAAGAATGTTGGATACTCAAGATAGGCTTATGCATGATGGGGACAATCCTGGTCTTATTAAGGAGGTTAAAGATAACACTGAATAGGTCTTTAAATGGAGTGAGATTGAAGAGAAAATTCTCAAACAGAGATCTAAAATCATCTAGTTAAGGCTGAGGGATGGCAATAACATATATTTCTATGCTCAAGTCAAGGATAAACGTCGTCACAATGATTTGAAAACTATCTATAAGGATGATGACACCCTCCTATCCAATTAAGAAGATATAGAAAATGGAATTATGGAGTTTTATGGTAATCTTATGGGAAAAGCTAATGCCCTCAATTGTCTGTTGATAAAAGAAGTTTGCTTGAGATCCTTGTTACTGAAACTGAGAACGGTCATGCCCTTAAGGATATTGGAGACTAAAAGGATGGGTTTGGTGCTAAGTTTTACAAGGCCTTTTGGAGTACTGTCAAGCGGGATGTTATTGTAGTTGTTATGGATTACTTTAATAATAATAATAGGATGTATCCTGCTATCAACTCTTCTTTGGTCTCTCTTGTGACTAAAGGCAATGCAGGAAAATCAATCAAAGATTTTAGACCTATCTCTTGTTGTACCATAATTTACAAGATCATCTCTAAAATCTTGACTCGTAGAATGAGTGTTGTGATGACTAGTACTACTAGTCAAGTTAAAAATAAGAACCTGAATAATAGCAAAATATATACTCCTGGCCGTGGAAGGAAATCCTACGAAAAAATAAGAAACTGAGTTCTTCATGAAGATTTAAGACACAATTTCATTGGGGATTATAAGTCATATGTAAATGATAGATTTTGAATGACAAATTATGATTAGAGAAGTACCTGCTAGGTCAAAAATACTGCTGGCATAAAAAACAATTCCATTGATTCCACCAAATTGCTGGCAGACCATTAGCCCTATCGCGATCTGGTCATGAATACATCAAAATTTGTACTTGTTGGATTAAAGAAAATTAAAAAGATGTCAATTTTGAATGTGTAGTACCTCGAAAAATACGATCCTCGCGATGGCCGCGGAAAATACTGTTCGAAACAGAGTCGCCACCGAACTTTATTCATTCCAAGGATGGAATAGGAAAATATCGATAAAACCTTTAAAGAGATAAGAACATGGTCGTCGCAACCAATATTCTAGGTTCGGGAGTCGATTACATGAGGGGAAGGTATTAGCACCCCTCATGTCCGTTGTACTCGACGACAACCTCTTGATCGATTCGAGAGTAAAGTTAACTATGCTTATTTGTTTTCTTCTAAGGTTTCTCCTATGGGGGGAATGGATGGTTATAGGATAGGGTGCTCGCCAAGGATTGGGGCCCTTGTGCCTACGTATCTTCACTTGTAAGAAGTGGAAAATCAGAGCATTTGTAGTTCGTGGGACTACGGGAAAAGGAGGGGATTATGCTCGCTAGGACTATCGCAATCCTATGCCTACGTATCTTACATTCAGAAGTGAATGAAGAATCAGAGCAGTCGTAGTTCGGCTAACTACGGTAAAAAGGTTTGGTATGGGGACGAACGAGTGTTTAGGTCGCATTCTAACTACTAAACGTTGGCTGGTCTGCTCGCTAGGGGAGGCTGAAGCATTAGTTTGTCATGCGCGGAAGAAGGGACTAAACAATGTTCTTTGGTAAAAGTATTTAGGTTGGAGATCGCACGAGGGCGAGGAATTTGTGTTTATCGTATTGGATGTTTTTGGTTAGAGAATATATTTGAATAGGTTTAAGGTTTCGATTGCACGGGGGCAAGAAAGAGGAGTTTAGTTAGGCAATTTGATGGAGAATGACGACTCCTTGATAAACGAGACGTTGGTCTCGGACAATTAATCGGGGCATTATTGGGATGCTAGATTCCAACGACACCTTTTTCATTCGACTAATTATGAAATATGTTTGAGAAAGTTTCAAACGCACGAGGGCGAGAGAAGAGAGTTGGATTGAATATTTTGAGGGAGAATGACGACTACTCGATGAACGAGACGCCAACCTCGCAATCAATTAATCGGGATATCATTGGAATGCTAGATCTCAATGATACCTTTTTCATTCAATTAATTAGGGAAGTGTATTTGAATGGATAATGGTGGTATTTGTCAAAGTAGTTAGGGCATGTATTTTATATACGAAAAGGTCGAGTAATCCACAACCTAAAGCGTACGCCCCAAGAGTGGTTAGTCAAGAATTCAAGGAATGCGAGACTCCAAGAACTCCATTCTTTTGTAATTTAGTTAAGAAAATAATTTTACGTATGACTTAGAAACATACAAGGGTTTAGACTCGATCGCACGAAGGTGGGGAACGAGGTTAAATGGGTTGAAAATTAGGAGGAATGACAACTACTCGATAAACGAGACGTCGGCCTCGTAACCAATTAGTCGGGATATCGTTGGAATGCTAGATCCCAACGACAATCTTTTTCATCCCATTAATTACGAAATAGTGTTTGTTGGACAGTGAATACTTGTCCAAATAATTATGGAAATATTTTAGAAACGAAAGTTCAAACGACACACCATTCAAGGCGTACGCCTCTATAGTAGTCACTCTCAAATTCGAGGAATGCGCGATTCCAAGAACTCGATTCTTTCGTGATTTGATTTAGAAAATAATTTGAATAGTTTAGCGTACTCGGACTAGGCGCACTAGGTATTCTTGAAAATAAGATCGGAAGGGTCACAAGTCGAGGTGTGCACCTCGAAAGTGGTCGCTTAAAAATTCAAGGAAGGCGAGATCCGAGAATTTAATTGTTTTTGAAATTTGTTAGGAAAATTGTTTAATTTAATTAAGAAAAATAGTTTTAATTTTCATATAAAATAAATTAATTAATTGTAAAGAGTTTTGAGAAAAATCAATCATAACTAATTGTTTTGAAGAAAAAGTTTAATATCTTAGAAGAATGTTTTAACTTAATTAATAAAATATAGTTTTCTAAAATTTAAAAAAAAACAAATTTATTTGGTAATAATTTTGAAATACATTTTTTAAAGAAAGAATAATCGGAATTCCTTATAAAAATATCTAATTAATAAAATTGTTTAAAAATGTCTTTTAGAAATTTCAATTAATTGAGTGAAAAACGGAACAATCACAACTAATGGGCGTGCGCCTCAAGAGGAGTTGTCCAAGGACTCAAGGAGTGCTAGACTCCAAGAGCCCACTGTTTTCGTGGATAAATTAGAAAAATGATTTAGTCGAATTAAAATGTTATTTGACTTTGTCTTATAAAGTAAGCTAATTAGTTAGAAATTAATTGAATAAAAAGTTATTTATCATTAAAAAAAAATAGATTGATATTTAGACATATTTAAAAAAATGAAAGGAGATAAAACAAAATAAATAAGAAAAAATAAAGATTGACTAAGAAACGGGGGAGGGCGCAAACCCACTTTGCCAGGATACAGAATTTGGACATATTTTCCATCACAAAATCAATAACTGACATTGGTTATCAAAAACTCTTAATATAATTTCTAACAACATTATGCAATTAAGATTCTTACGAAATTGAAACCGTATGTGAGAAAAACAAGACGGCATTTCATAGCTACCATTACCATAAAAAATCTTAACATCTCATGAAGAAGGCTATCATTAACCATCATCCATAGAACATACTGCAATATTAGTTCAACAACACATATACGGTCGAAATTCTTATGCAACTTGCAGCAATCAACTAATAGGCGCAAACATCAACCTGTTATCAACATTACAACTTCAACCATCAAATAACAAAGTATTACAACATCATTAGAGTGAAACAGATGAAAACAGCTTGAAATTGGCTCAGAACCTCACCCAGCTGCAGCGGAAGTCAAAATGTATATGAAAACATGACTCATAATATTGAAAATAAGGCCAGTACAGCAGAGTTAAAGCATAAAATTTGCGGTGTCATGATGATTCCACATGTTGACCAAATATGTTTTTGAAATACCAATTTATCAACAACACCAAAAGATATTCTCTGCTAAACAATTACTGACATAAGAATGAAAAATAGGATATCATAAACCAACAATTCAATATGCAGCAAGTCGCTAGCATGCAATGCGTTTTATCGTAATTAATTTGAAGCAAGAGTTTAACACCTTGACACACAAATCATGTCAAATCAGCACAACACCCAGACCTGATAGGAATGACCACATCAACAAAGACACAACTATCTTCCAGCAGTACTTAACAAATTAAAGTAATCCACTAAACAATCTCTTACACACTCAGAACCCAGGAAATAAACTTAAGTAATTTACATGATCTATGCATTCTAACAAACCAGGGATAAAATGTATGCAGTTGACACTAAATTTTAACTTCTAAACAATAACAAATTACGAGTTAGATTAGAGCGTTACCAAATGGCGAGTTATTGTCAAAGAAAGATATGAACTTTGTTTCCGCTTTTGTTATGTCTTGTGGGAAAGAGTTGGTTGTCGTTGAAAAAACGTAAGTCGTTCCTATGTTGAAGCTATTGTTGTTTGAAATGCTGTTGTACCTGAAATGGAAACATGACGAAATACGAAAACACAACAAACACAGCTGCAAGCTGAAACAGTCGTTGCCGAAACATAGAAACTCAAAGCTTTGCGATGGGGTTATTGTTGTTGATGTTTGAGCCAGATCGTTGTTGTTGCGAAATCATTTTCATCGTGGTATCGGCACCAGAACTCGTTGTTGGCTCAAAGAGGGGAGCTCGTCGGAATCATTATGTTGTTGCTGACCCGAGCCACAACTGTGATTTGCGTAAGCTAGTTATGTCGCCGCGCAGTAATTCTCGAAGACCTGCTCTCTAGATAGCTCTGCAGCACCAAAGTTTTCCTGTAATACATCATGCCACGTACCGTTCTTGCCAGAGTCTGCCCTCGATAAGATGCCCAAAACCGAAGTTCCAAAGTGTCACTGGAACTTTCTTGAAGTTCTGCATCCTCAGTAGATGAAACTCGACCGATTCTTTCAAGAAAGTTGTCCCATTCATCTGGAAATATCTTTTGAAGAT